TAGAACCAAAGAGTAATAATAGCTTAAAGTTCCAGGATTCTACATGCTAAAAAAAAAAATCCCAGAAAAATATTCCATTATTTAAGGGAAAGAATAACAGATTCCCTGTTTAGGAATATCAGATGACCAGAATTTAAAGCTTACATCATTTTCTCTTACTATTTTTGCCATAACACTTTATGCAAGGGTACAATAAAGGTAAGAGGCAAAGAACAGAGTTACTATAAATCAAATAAAAACTTCTGCACTTTCTTCTAAAATAAATATAAGAATGGTCTACTTCTAAATAAAAGAGCTTCCTTTAGTGCAACCTGGTTGTTTGGATGAGAAGACTCTTCATTTGGGCCATGGGTGGTCAGAAGGGACATTGCACATTCTCCCTGCCTTCTCCAACATGCTGCTCCGCCAGCCTTTGACCCCTCTTGCTGGGTAACTGTTTTTCCAACTCCCACATAGCCCGACACTCTCCTGTGCTGTCTCCAAGGTCTACAACCCAGAGCTGTCACCAGTTTCCTTTCTTACTCTCAAGAATCCAGCACTCTAAAGTAGCTGGTTCAGAAGACATCTAAACTGTATGATTATGTTGAAGATAAGTTCCTCTGCAAATAGCAATTAATCAGTGAAATTATTATTCTTTACATGTTCCTTCATTTCTTTCTTTTTCATTATGATTTAGCGATCTGGCTGGGTTAGAAACCCCTAGGAAATTGGCTAATTCAGATGTGTAGTTAAAACTTTCTTTTACTCTAAGAAGGAAGTGTGCTTTAGAGGTTTACCAAATGACTTTTTCTTTTCTCCCCACCCACCTCCATCTTTTGAGCTGCCTCACTTTCACTCCCCACCTACAACATACACTCATTGTCCTTATTTACTTGGGTCTCATTGAAATACATGTTATTCAGTTACAGAGGCTTATTAAAATAGAACAAGACAGTCATGGTTGAATACACCTGTAGTCCCCATGCTTTGGGAGGCCGAGATGGGAAAATTGCCTGAATCCAGGAGTTCAAGACCAACCTGGGCAACAAAGTGAGACCCTTACTCAAAAAAATAAGAAAACAGAACAAAAAAATTATTAATCATCAGAGGCTTAAAAGATTCCCCAGTTTCCCTAAACACCCTGGTTAGCAAAAAGAAACGCATGCTGCAGTAATGTGATTTGAGAGATTCTAGGAGAGCTCCCTCTAGCATCCTCACTGGCTGGCCATTATTCAAAACCCTAATGTTAGCAGCTCCTTTGACATAATCCCAAGAGCATGTGCAGATTCAGCTAAAATTTCTACTCTGCGCCTTAGTCAAGTGACCTTAACAAAGCCATTTAACGTCTCTGAGCCTCAGTTTATTTTTCTGGGGAAAAGAAATAATAAAACTAACCTCAAGAGTTGTTAAGATGTTATTATAAGATGTATATAAAATACTAAGAACAATTCAGGATATGATAGGTTAAAATTTAAGTGACAATACTATCTATGAGTTGTAACATTAAACTGCTATCCACTGGGTGCTATACTAGGCCAAGTTTTCTGATTAATTTCACAAGAGCAAAAACTTGAGGGAATATTACAAAGCAAGAATATTCAAAGTTTCTAAGAGGCATGCAGACCAGCACTGATATGAAAAGGGGCATAGTGGTCTAAAATAAAAATTTGAAATGTATGGAAAGTCAGTTTGACCACATGTTGGTCAAGAAGGAAATTGCAAGTATTTTGAATGTGATTATTTCACAAATATGTTACCTTGTGTATTTTTTTCTTTCTGGAGTAAATACTAGAGTTTGATAGATAAATAATGAGTGCATTTTCACAAAGATATGCCTGGTCGCTTTTGTGAATACTTATTGTATGCCCATAATTCTACAGAGAGAGCTAGCTCACTGTTAGTTCCATACAAGGAGCTTTGTAACCTAGGTTTGACCTCCCTCCCTGCCTTCATTTTCTGTACATTTCTCATATGATGACTGTGCAACAACCACACCAATATATTTGTGGTTCAAGAGAGTGGTGATTTTTATATTATTTTACATCTCCCCTTGCACAGATGTTCCTCCTACCTCCACCCCCAAACTGTGGTACAACAGTTTATTTCTTTAACTTGCTTATTCTGCTCCCTCAAAACTTAACTGCTGCTTCTCTTCACAATCTAAATTTCCCAGTTCATTTCCACCCCTGGTCCAGGCACATATGTGCTTATTTCTGTCACCAAATTTTTCACACTGATCCATGTATTTCTATTAGGTTGGTGCACCCACCTAATGAATAATTAGCCCTTTCTTTTCCTCTGTTCTGAGGGTTCCTCAAGGGTGGGGACTATAATGCCCTTGACTTTCTCTGCACAGCAGACCGCCTGTCTGACACAGAGTAGGCACTCAGTAAGTAAGTGATAAATCAGTAGATGTCTGATGAAGTAAAACATACAGATGCTTCTGTAATGAATTATTTTTAAAATCCCTTTATCACAGGCTATGATTTGCATTAAGGCAAGGAATGATGAAACTCAGAAGTGTTGAATCAGAATCTAAGTCTCTGCTCCTTCTGGAGAATGAAAGAGAAACTTCCTGAACTGTTTGGACATAGACATTGTCCCAAGATAGTTAACATGTTACTCTGGGACATTCAGGAGTGAGGCAGGCATCTTACAAGGGGAAGTTCAGTCCTTTTCTCTTGACCTTTGATAGGCTGGTTGTTGAACAGGACCTTATCTAATAATAAATTCTGATGATCCGATAGAGGTCACTTGCCACAGAAAGTGGCACTGGATGAAAATTTTTCCCTGGCTCTAAAGGAAATGGAAAAGGGCATGATAAAGTGAAATCATCAGATGAGGGGTTCATAGGTTAGTGAAACAGTGAACAGGTCAAAGGAGGGAGACGCTGGAAGCTGAGTGGAAGAAATCAGTGGAAAGTTCCAGAAAAGGAGATGCACAGCACTTCAGCCCAATTAAGGGATATAAGGGCATGATCCTCCCTGCCTCTCAGTGTGCAGTAAATTAAACCCAGATCCGTTGTTCCCTAGGAAGAGAACACTGAGGCAGATGTCCTGGAAAGAAAGGGTTAAAGGAAAAGAAACAGTGAGCAAAGATCAAGAATGCAGCTGAGAAAAGAGTCAGAGTCGGCTGGGCGTGGTAGCTCATGCCTGTAATCTCAACACTTTGGGAGGCCAAGGCGGGGGTCACAAGGTCAGGAGTTCGAGACTAGCCTGACCAACATGGTGAAACCCCATCTCTACTAAAAATACAAAAATCAACCAGGTATGGAGGCAGGCACCTGTAATCCCAGCTACTCAGGAGGCTGAGGCAGGAAAATCACTTGAACATGGGAGGTGGAGGTTGCAGTGAGCCAAGATCACATCACTGCACTCTAGCTCAAAAAAAAAGAAAAAAGAAAAAAGGAGTCAGTCAAGGGTGACTAGGGGAAGCACTTCCTCCTATTCTAGCTCCTACATTTGCTTCTTTGATTATATATATAGTATCTAATATCATGCACTGTCAGAGTAAACTTATAAATCAAAGGAATGAGTCAATCCAAGCAACTGGGAGCAGAGGTTCTGAAGATGCTTTATGGCAACACAACTATCTAACACTTCAACACATCTCCCAAGCTCATAGTTGCCATCTTGTGATAATTTTCTTCTTTAAAGATTGTCTAAATTAATCTGTTCAACTAATTACACTGAATATCTTCTGTAGATCTTGAGAGACATAATGTTTAAAGTGACATGGTCTCCACCCAGGATACAAATCATAGTTGATTTGCAGGCATCTATAATAATGACATAGAATTCACTGCAGGGCAAAGTGGGGGCTCAAAGAATGCAGAAATCCATTCTACCTGTGGTTAAGTATATCTGATTTTACCCACATGCAGAGGCAAAATTCATTACCATATTTTTGGCCAGCTTAAGTTTAGGAGAAGGCACTCAGGTAACCTGCCATGGTGCCCAGGGAGCGCTAGGGTGTTGTGAAGTGATAATTCATATCTCCTGGGACCCAATGAAGGCAAATGGCTGGTCCTTTCCTTGCTGAACTGAGATTTTGACTTAACCTTATATTTTATGTGAGTCAGTCCTTGCTGTTAGCATTTTGAGAAGTGAAATAAAAATACTAAGGTGAAATTTGGGGATTGAGACCAGCTTAACATAAGAAGTTTTAATTAAAATTGAGCGTCATTTGATGAAGCAAGCAAAATTACTAAGCGAAAACCAAAGAATGCCTTAAATTCGATCCAAACAAAAGTATATTTGGAAATGTTCTGTACATATTTTCATAACTAATGCAGTAAAAAAAAAAAAAAAACTAGCCATTACCCTGGAGCACAAAAGAAGAGTAAATGTAATGGGCATGGAAGCTTCACACTAAATTCATTTTACAGAAGTAAGTTGGTGTAGAAGACTAAGAGACTCTGGCTGCAGAAACAGCTGATTTCAGATTCTGCATCTTTCACTTGACAGACATGTTTGACACCAGGAAAATTATTAAACTTTTCTGTGATAGTCATTGCTCAACATTATGAAGCAAACGTAAAATAATTATATAAAATTTGATAGATGATCTATAAATATAAATTTCATTTGCTATGTGTTTATTGCTAGCAAAAGGGGAGGCTGGTGACTGAAACATCAATGGGAGCACGAAGAAACAGCCTATATAACCACACATACCCATCTCTCTCACTCTCTCCCCCCAAAACCTGTAATCCACATATCAGAAATACCCTGACTCAATCGGAAAGCTCAATATTACATGCCATTCCTTGTTTGAAATGGAAGGCTCTGAATATAAGGAGCTAATGGTGTGACCACATGCTTCTATGTGCCAAAAATCAATTATAGTACTGAAAATACTAGAACTGGCCATTTTCAAAGTTAAAGGAAAGAAGTCACAATCAGTAGGGAGCTCTAGTTTGTATTGAATTTCTCATCCATGTTCTTCTGTCTTGGGGAACTTTTATGCATCAGTTAAATGTGCTTTCCCTATAATTGCAGAAAGATGGAGATTCTCATTACCATTCATCCTTGTCAGCGTCGCAATTACAAAAGTGCCGAATGTCCAGGCAGCTCTCGTCTAGGCCACATTCACACTGCTGGACTCCAGGAGGAGAACCTCCCCAGTAAGGGTGCCGTTCATTGGAACGCCCAATCCACCAGGTGAATGGTGTTCCATCTGGAAGACAAGATATTTCATCAGTCAGGATGGGGCAAGCCTGAAGTAACACAGGGGCTGGCTCAGAAACTGGGATGAAAGTGTCTTGGAGAATAGATGTATACAGATAATCTCCCTCCCTTCCTTTCTTCTTCCTTCCCTCAAATCCCCCCTTTCCTCTGCTTGCTTTCTTCATTTCTTTGTTTTGTCATCTTGTTCTTTTGTTCCTTCTTTTTCCATCTGTTTCTCTTTCTTACTTTTTCTATATAATTAAATTTGTATTTATACATCCTTATGCCTGCATATATGTACACATACAAACAACATTTTTATCAAAATATTTATAAAGTCAAATATTGATAAATGGCAATATCGAGAGGCAGTGTCAGAAACTTAAATTCTTGCCAGACCAGGCATATATCACAATTGAGTAACTTAGGTAAGAATTTAGACCAAAATAGTTTAATATATGAATTTCAAAAATAATAATTTACTTTTCAAATTACCAAAGAGAAAAATGAGAACACCAGGACCAAGATTAGTCTGACCTCTGTCCTCAGTTCTGGGTCTATGATGAGGAGGTTAGAGACTGGGGTGAAGAAGAGGCTGGCTGTGTAAGAGTGCTGGTTCTGATGGCCTCCCATTGATTTCTGTCATTAATAGTAGCTCCACAGTTACTATATCTTCTGATTTTGCTTTTTAAAAAGAAGTCGTAAATTCAAAATTCAAAGATTTGGGAGAAAAACAAATAAAAGCACTGTAAAGGCTGATAATGTGTGGACTGACCAAATATTTGTGACTCACAAATATAACCCTTGTGAAGGTTGTATTTACCCCACATAAAGCTGATATGCAACCTGTGATTTCCAGTCTTTACAGTTAACTGGAAATCATTTTTGAGTCTTGTCCTTGTCAATTGTTTTATATACAAAATGTAGTTTAGTGAAACCTGCTAGGTTCTTTATGATTGAGAATATTTCAGTAGCTTGAAATTATCATTCTGAAAGTGATACTGCAACCAACACAAGATAGGTAAAGATGGAAGTGTTATACATCATAAGGCCGAAGGAGGAGAGGCCTGAGCTCCCTTTGGTAATTGTCTTATTTGTGTTTGATATACCACAGGTGCTTAACATGTGCTTATTTAAAACATAAAAGGAATATGTATTAGGGACCACTTTATATCATTTGCAATTTTACCGTAGAATAATAGCAATTGTCTGAGGAATGCACTAGGTTGAAATCTTGCCTCATCAGTACTGTAGCTTACATGCATATTATTATGTACAAACATAAAAATCACAATCTCTATATACAAATAGCAACAAGTTTTGCTTATTTGCCTCCAGGCTAACATTCCCATGAAACTCACTGAGGCAAGTAGGAAGAAACCAGGCAACCTAGAACTTTCAATAATCTGAAGGTCATAAGAAAAACGTATAGCAGATACTTTGAAAAGTAGCAGCACTTTAGGGGTACTGATCTATGAAGCAGAGGGCCTGAAGGACTACAGTCACCCCAACGTAGCACTCCACACTCTGCCTAAAGTAAGTTCACTTGCTATGTCATCTTTAAAGCTAGAGATTTAGTTAGAGATGTCTGTTAACCAGTGTGTTCTTCTAAAGACAAGTTATCAACAATAAGAATTCATTTTCTTTAGTTCCAAATAACTACAAACCACTGTAAAATACTTCACATAAATTGCTTTCTTCCTAAATCCCTTCTCAGATGAGCCAAGAATACATGGCCTAGGGGACTGGCAGGCTTATTTGGAGCATGGAGTACTTTCAGGGCTGGAGTAAGCTTAGGTGGATCATTGCAGCGTGAGTCCAGCCAGCACCAGGGTGAAATTTTGTATCTGAATACATTTGTCAGTGTTGGCCTTGGGCCCATGAATGGAAATTAATCTCGCGACCTCTCCCTCCTTCCAGCAGCCCAGGCCTGTCCTCTCAGAATCTAGAATCCAGACTACACAGTCTAGTCCCATGTCAGCCAGAGTTACTTTGCTTATGAAATACCAGAAAGGCTATAAGCACATCAATTGCATCATTACTAATAGTATAAGCTCTGAACAGCCAATTTGTGTGTAACTTCTGTGGATGTGCTGCTTCTAGTAGATTTACCTATTCTTATTTGGTGTTTTCACTCCCTGGAAGTTCCATTAGCAGCCCAACTCTTTCTTCTGTTTTGAATCCATCAACATCTTGCACCTCTTTGGCCTCTCAGCATTTCTCTCTTAATGTCTGGCACAAAGGTTGATAAGTTTAAAGGTTAAAAACAATGTTTTAACCAACTGACTCTCAACAAATAAGAAAAAAGAGAGAGAACAAAAACTTATCTATGTATATATGAAAACAGGATTACTGCTAAATGTTCCCCTCGGACGTCCCATCTTTGTGTCTTGGTCCATGTGCAGTACCGGAGATATTATAGCAAATGAAGATACTGAGGATCAAACAGGGGCTTGGCACTCCTGAAGTCCTGACTCTAACCAAGTAGTCAGGAAGAAAAACTACATCCTAGGCTGCAAATTTTGGCCATTGAAGAAATGGAATTTTTCCTCTCCTGACAGGAGTTTCTTTCAACAGTGAAAAAACAAAGCATGATTATAAATATTTTCTTTAAAAATATACATTCATTCAACAAACATTTACTAAGGATTTATACTATTTCAAACATGGTTCTGGGCACTTGGAATAAATCACATGAGAAAACAAACCAAAATGAAGAAAAAAACAAAACATGTCCTCCCTTGGGTTACATTGTAACTAGGAGGAAACAACAATAATAATATTTAAATAATTTAACATGTAGAAAGGGATAAGAGGTATGGTGTATTAGTCCATTTTCATGCTGCTGATAAAGACATACCTATGACTAGATAATTTATAAATAAAAAGTGGTTTAATGGACTCACAGTTCCATGTGGATGGGGAGGCCTCACAATCATGGTGGAAGGCAGAAGGCATGTCTTACTTGGTGGCAGACAAGAGAAAATTGAGTGCCAAGTGAAAGGGGAAACCCCTTACAAAAACTATCATATCTTGTAAGACTTATTTCCTACCATCAGATCTTGTAAGACTTATTTCCTGTCATGAGAACAGGATGGGGCAAACTGCCCCCATGATTCAATTATCTCCACCAGCTCTCTCCCACAACATATGGGAATTATGGGAGCTATAATTCAGGATGAGATTTGGGTGGGAACACAGCCAAACCATATCATACATGGAGAATATGAAACAGGCCAAGGGGAGTAAGTGTGCTATGAAGAAGTATTGCATGTTGCAATTTTAAACCATACGAATCAGGAAAGAGTTTGATGAAAAGATGTCCTGAACAAAACTCATAGGCCATGAATAAGCCACCTGTGGCCTTCTAGAAAAGCTCATTGCAGACAAAGGAAATGAACAACATAAAGACCCAATCAGGACATTTTTTTAGAATCTGTGGCCAGGTTTTTAAACTGCACTTTGCATAATGTTGCAAATACTCTAATAGGAAGGTTTAACAGGAAAAAGGAAATGGGTAGCAGAAAACAAATAAAATAGAATTTAATTGATCAGGTTCTTGATTAGAAGCTAAGAATTTACTCTGCCTGTTCCAAGCCAAAATGTATTTATTAGGAAGACGCTGCACTGTCACAGAATAATAAATATAAAACCCTGCCCAGCTGGCTGCCACTGAATGCCAAACGCCTACAGACCGACTCAGTTGACATGCTGTCTGCACCACCACCACCTCCCTCCAAGTGTCTCGTGCTGCAACCCCTATCTCCCCACGGACAAGTTTCTGCAGGCCCTATGGCTGCCAAGAAGAAGGCTCACATGGAGTCTGCTTCCTGGGGCTCTGTTCCCATCAAGGCATCTCACAGGTAGGGCTGATGGGTGGAGCAAAAGTTACATGCTTGAGTGCCAGCGGTAAGGGAGACTGCAGATTTGAATTCTGACATATTTGCTGTGGAGGCAAGACTCACAAAACAATTTTCCCTAGCACAGAAATGTTATTCAAAAGCTAAGCAGACACTTAGTATCTCTTAATGGATCGATATTTTAAATCTCTGAAATCTCAATTTCTTCTACCTCATGGGGTTGTTAATCCAAATATAAACCTATTCTGATGCCTGTGATAAACAAAGAACTTTATGAACTCTGGTGAGCAGGGGCTAGGGAGGTTCCACAATTTTGCTTTGATGACCAGGAAGGTACTTCACTTTGACAAGAAGAAAATGGGGAAAAGTTCTGTCCACCCCACAGCTGCCTGCATGTGACATAGATATCTCCACAGTAGAGGTCTGCATTATGCACTGTGCTTCTAGGGCCTGGGGCTATGGGGATTTGGGAGGCTAGCTGCTTGGCTAGGAAGCCAGTGTTTTCATATACAGCCCAGCAGCCGTGCACTGCAGGGACTTCCACAAAAGCGCTAAGACTAAGAAAGCTAGAGGACTGGGACCTGCTGGGAGACCCTTCCCTGGAAGGGTCTCCCAGCAGCAGCCTCAAAGCTCTTGGAAAGTTGGCAAGGTCCTCCGTAAGCAAAATATAAGAAAAGACAACTGAGGAATTGCATGAATATACATTACTTCTATGCAAATATTATTGTCATGTAACCTCATAACAATACTCAACTTACACGGTATGAGAAAACTCAGATTACGTGTGTGTAATATATTTAAAACGTGTGTGTGTGTGTGTGTGTGTGTGCGTGTGTGTATCCTCCTAAAACATTATTTGTTTTAGGGTATACATAGTAAGTGATCACAGAAGGTGATCTTACACACTCCCACACAATAATAATACCATAGCACAATGCAATGCCAGCATTGAGTGCTAGAACCTTTCCAGGATCTCCCTACCCCAAGTTTCAAGGAGATAACCATGACTATTTTGCTTCGTTGCAGACAACATGCAAACAGAAAGGCGCAGTTTAAGCCCTGTTGCTGTCTTCTTTTCAAATGTTCAGTGTCTTTCTGAGTTTCTACTCAAAATATTTTTTTGGACCTAAATTGCTTCCCAGTTTTACAG